TTATACATGTTTTTTTTTAAAGTTTAAAAAATTTTATTGAGTACGGGGTACTTTTCCTTCACTATAAGACCTAGAAGAGTGTGCACACACTTGTTTTTTTCTAATATATATATATATATCTATCTGTTCAAAAGCAATATTGGATAAATGTAAGGATTTTATTTCATTTATTTTATTGGAAACTGTATATATGTATTTATGTATTATAAACTAGGTTATATAGACATTATATTTAAAGGTATTTGTTATTATATATATAGTGATGGAGCTGCAGCATTAGTTGGAAGTTTGGGTGTTGTTCCTAGCGCAAATGTTGGAGATGGTTTTGTCATTGGTGAACCAGGTATATTATTCTTGCACCTTGAAATTCATCAATTTATTATAACCATTATTTCACATTCTTCAATCCCATGTGTGACATATTATAACAGTACATGGTTCTGCACCTGATATCGCTGGACAGAATAAAGCTAACCCAATAGCAGCAATTCGTAGTTCGGCATTGTTATTAGAACATATGGGATATCCTAAAGAGGCTTTGAAAATCTATAAAGCTGTTGATAGTGTATTAAGAGTTGGCGGCAATTTTCTTACACCGGATTTAGGTGGTAAATCAACTACAAATGAATTGACTGACAATATTATTAAACAGATTTAAAATAATTCAAGTATTTGTATTCTTTAAAGAATTCATATACTTATTTTTGAAAATAATAAAAATTTGATCAACATAAATTTTTTTTCATAACTCTGAATTTTTATAGGCAGTCTAGCCAAACAGCTTTCGTTTTTAATAATCTTTTGGAGTTTGTATTTTTATGAATATTTTTTCGTTACTTTTGGAAGAAAAATTCGTTTCTAGAACATGAAAAAATATTCCTCGCATTATTATCAAATGAATCAGAAGAATTAATCAAATTGTTTGGCTAGTACTGATAATCTGGGTATCACTAACCTAGCAATTAAGATCACAATCTTCTGATCCTTTCTTTTTATCATTACCTTTATCAAATTGCATTCTGGATTTTTTTTTATTCATCATTGTCATCATCAGTGCAAGCAGATTGTTGATGATGAAAGAAACAATGATTTCAGATTGCTGAATTGGTTCATTTTGTAGACGATTTGTATAGAATGATTGGTTCTTGTCATTAGGTTCTGCAAATTAATAATCTTTGTTTTTCTCTAGTTGGCTCATAAGTTTTTTTCAGCAGTTGATTTATTTTCTGGATTAGGATCCTAAAATCTTTCCATCAGTTCAGCATAAGTATAAAAGTATCGTCAGTGATTTGAGATAATAAGACAATGATTATGTGGTCTATCATCTTTTGTATATGATTTTCTTGGTGACACTTCAGGTGTAAAGTATCGACACAATCTTAAATCTCCTATTACCTACCTTAGAATTCGCATAAGAAAATATGCTGCCACTGTGATGAAATGTAATTATTTTAATTTATATTAAATATTTCTGTAAATCACATATTTTTCATTTGTGAATTTTAGTAATTTCATAATGATAACTATATGTAGAATAAAATTCATTTATTATATTTGTTATTAATATTTATTAAATAATATTAATATGCTTTTGGCACAATTTTCTACTGACTTTGATGTAACAAATAAATCACTTTTGTTAATACATTCATTTAATATTTAATAATATATTTTCTTTATTTTTTTATAAAGTAAAAAAATATACATACAAATAAATTCAAATCAACACAATTATTTGTTTAAATTGTAAATTTCTCTCTTTTTTGCCTATCAAAAACTTTAATGGAATTTCGGAATAACAACTGATGGTTTCAATATTAATATATATTAATATACATGTGATATACTTTATAACAAAGGCTTTTAAAAAGAATTACTCGTATGTCGAAAATTAAATAATTTGGAGTTGTCGCCAATGCAAATGGTATATATAAACCGAGTAATTCATGCATGAAAAAAGATGGCACTATTCTTGCACCCAATCTTTCCAAACAAAATTCTCGAGGTAACACTCTTTTGCCGATATTAAGAGTTTTAGTATTGTCTTTTGTTACATCAACTTTCTTGTTCTAGCAAAGTTAACAGAAGCAGCAGCATTAGGAGATTACAACAAACTTCTACGGCTCATTAAATTACTCTATTAAGGGACGATATATAGTCTTCTGGCTTCCACAATCAAAAAAAATACTATCTTTGTGAGAATAAACTCTTAAATGCGTAATTATTTCCTTAAATTATTCTAAATATAACGAATGAATAAATTTCTTAATTGTCGTTTGTCTGTCTTTACTTAATACTACGTGATGGTTGTATGTATCCTAAGTTTTATTTTTTGATGAATACATTCGTGTATTGGCTTTGATTTGGTACAGTAAATAATCTTCTTTCAATTTATAGTTAGACCGAACAAACTCTGTTTTCGGTTCTCGGGTCAGCATTGAAAAAAACATTTTATGTGTTGTTTGCCTGAAAATTTTTTTATTCCAAAAAAAAAATAAAAAATAAAAAATAAAATAAAAGGCGGGTCACCAGGTCATGGATGTTACGAGAACCGAAAATCGAGTTTATGCGGCCTTATTTTTAGAACCACATTTTATTATCATTTAACTTTTTCCACAACAAAAAGGGTGTCATCAATTTGTTAATGTATGTGTGTATGTTTTCTTTATCTATAAAAAACTTTTCTTGCAAAAAAAATAGATTTATTGAACGAATTTAGGTACATTGTTATATTGCTGCATTATTATTATCTATTACTATTGTGTAAATTTAGATCCCATCTTTCTTTTTCTAAATTATGCATATTTACAATCCTGACTTCCCAAAACTGCTTTACAATCATGTTTCTGTATTTTCGTTGTCTATTGGTATATTAATATCACAGTCAGGAAGTTATTAACGGCGGTTCTGAGAGGTTTAAATTTTTTATTTAGAAATAGCCCTTGTCTAGATTGTTATTAATTATATATTTAATAAAATCCAATCATTGTGATTGTAGTATATAAATGCCAAAATCACCTCATGCAAAATTCTCACATGTAACTTGAAATCTTTAAAGGGACTAAAATACTTATGCATTATTTCGTTGTTGCTAATGGTAAAAAGGAAAAACAAAAAAATTAGAATAATAATTCAACAACCATTACCTAGTCTAAATTAAACGTTTTGGATTGAATAATAATATTCCATAATCCAAGGCTCTTCTAAACCTTTACTTCTTTTTGCAGCAAAAATCATCTCCAATATAAATTTATGTTTATGATTACCACCTTTGAGATAACATTCAAAAATTTTAAAAATTTTGCTTGAGGTAATTAATTAACTCAGTTGATGAAGAGATGATAATTGTATAGAATGATTCTGAATTCTTTCTGTCTGATAAACATTTTTCTGGGTTGATAGTTTCTTTTGTTTCTTCGGAAAAACCATAACAATATCATTCAATTTCTACAGCAATTGTCATGTGGCTTACCATAAAACGGTTCTTTCCTGTAATATATTCTCACATCATCTCATGTGTAATCTCATTTATGCAAATTATACATTATATATACCATGTTTGTATTACCAAAAATTAAGATTTAATCATCGCCAACATAACGTGATTATGATTTGTTAATTTTTCATATAGAACTACCCCTGTATAAAATAATTAATTTACATCAGATCCACTATGGACCCAAGAATTATAGCACTACTAGAAGAAAGAACATTTATCAAAATAAATGATACTCAGGCACTTGAAGCTTATCTAAGGAAAGAAAGGATTGCATATAAATTTACCAAGAAGAAAGAAAAATCGTAACCAATAAAAGAAAATTAACACAGAACCATAAATAACCCGAAAATTGGAAAAAAAAAAATGATTACTACTTAACTTAGGTTTAATTATTAGTATAATGAGCATATTTATACTATCATAAGAAGTTAAAAATAGATTTGACAAAGGAGAATTGATGTATGTTGGTTCTGCTTCATTTCAATTATTTTCTCTGGTTTCTCCTTTAGGTGAATTTTCTCGCTTATCTTTTTTTGTAGTTGTTCTTTTTTCCTTGGTAATGTTGATAAAAGTGGTAATAAGACTAAGATAAAAAAAAGTTTTAATTTCTTTTATAACTTCGCTTTCCTAATTTTTAATAAAATAAATTCAGCAAAAGATACATTGGCAACTTCCTGAGTTTTGACGACACCAAGATTAGATGCTTCAAAAAGAAAACATTGATATTTTTTAAAAAATAATTTAATGTCCAAGTATTGAAAGCCTTTCCTGCTTCGTGGAATTGTGTTTTTATAATACTGTTAGACTAGATCTTTTCACCCATCAACTACATGATCCACACTTGTTTTTCTGTAGAGTTTTTGATTAATCCAAAACTGTCATCACATTTGAATTTGATATGTCCAGGAATTGTCAAAAGTCACATGATTTTTATTTTGTCACCAGCATTATCACAAGTAATCTTTAAATGCATTTCGCCATTATTCAATCTCTTAATTCCATCAAAGATCATACTAAATGTATAATGCGGGTCACACTAACACATCAAATAAAAATTGATCAACTTTAAAGCTAAATAGGGAAATATTAATGCTTGTCTGAAAAAAAAAATAGAGATGATATTTGATAGCTATTGACTATTCTACTTGTTAGCTTTTAAAAATCGTGTGCTTTTATATGTTTTTATATGTTACATATAAATTTTGAAAAATTTAGTTTATCTGAAATTTTTAAAAGCTAATAACTCTGGAACTAATATTTTTTCAATGATGGATTGTGGAACTGGTCAATAGCTATCAAATATCGTCTCTATTTTTTTTCAGACAAGCATTCAATATTTCCCTATTTAGCTTTAAGGTTATTTGATGTGTTAGGGTACCCGCATCATACCATGGGACCTTTCCCTGGCGCACTATGTCTGAAACAAAAAATGATCATCCTAGCAAATTTATAAAATGCAGCATGCATGCCTGCTGAAGATGCATTTATTTACGCGAAGTCAGCAAATATATACATAAATTAAAATATACGAATAAATAACCAATAAACTATGAATATATTTATCGCATTTAATTTAATTCCTAAGATGAGATATAATAGTCGTTATTTTGCTTTGAAGTATCCATAGTATTTTTAATGTTTTGTAAAGGAGCCTTGTATTCCTTGTTTTAATTACAACGATAACCTGACACGATAATGATACAATAACTCTTTTTATCATCACAAATTTTTGTTAAGTCAATAGTAGGCTATGTCTTTAATAAATTATTCGAATCTCGAGAACCATTGATGAGTGCTCTTTTTTGCGTTAGGTGGTATGGTTACATTTATATACTTTTGAACAATTCTTCTGGAGGTCTTCTCTCTAAAAAAAAAATTTTTTGAGAATGCAATAAATATATAACTTAATAATAATAGAAAGATCGAGAAATTTGTCGGATAGAAGATACGCTAGAACCCTATAAATATATATATTTAAATAAAATAAAAATAAATGTAGAACAATTAACAAAAAATTTATTAACTACCAAACGTTCTAAAGAATCACTTAATTCTTGAACAGTAAAATTAGGGTTTAATAATTCTGATGCTTCCATAAAACCCTTTATTATAACATTTGTTAACATTATCCCCAAATTCACCATTTTTATAAATATATTTGTAATTAATAATTAATAACTAATAATAACCAGATCTTTTTCACTTCATCAAAATGGTCAATCCATGTTGCTTTATGAACTTCTCCAAAACCACCTTTAGCTAAATATTCAATAATTTATTATATAGGAATCTAATATATATTTCTTCGCATTTATCAGTTAATTTTTCAATTTTTCTTTGAACCATCACATAATAATCATTTTTTACTTTTTCACCAATAATAATAAATTCATCGTCTAGTTTACAGATTGCGTCCATCTTATAAGATTTTATTTTCCTAGATTACCTTCTAAATGTTTTAGTCCATCTATTTATTTATCATTCCCTTACAACCAATACAATTTCCTGTTGATTCTAAATGAATCAATCAATTCAATATTATGCCATTCATTTTTTAACATGTAACACTAAATGTGTAGTATTTTACCATAATTATTCTTGATGGTAATATGTCTTAAGCCACCAATTTTTAACATGATCTTTGAAAGTATGGATAGAAGTCACTTTAACTTTTTAAAAAAATAACTTTTAACAGCCATATGGAAAGAAAAAGCGATGTTCTGTCGGCCCAAACTGTCTAATTTAATTAGATGCGGGAGTGTTTGTTTATTTAAATTGTTTATTATATTTTTGCTATGTAATTAATCGTTCAAAATAACCAAAAAAAAAAAAATAACATTACGATGACATTAGGAAATAATAATAATATAACTCTTTGCATAGATTGGGACTTAAACTTTTGTTCTGTGTGAAATTGAAATCCATAATTAAAATTTTGGGTGTGGGAAATTCTGATTTGCTAATTCGAAATTTCACGTACGTGAATTGCAAATTCACATAATGACAAAGAAAATTTCAAATCCATTGATTAATACATGTTTTTTTTTACTGCAAATATCTTATTATTGCTTCTAAATTTGGCCTTTGTATAACTCTAAAATTTATCGCGCTTTATAATAATAATAATGTTAAAGTTGAATGAATTAAATTTATCTATGCATTGAAATATGGCCGGTAGCGCAGAAAATGACAGAGGCGCCAATTTAATGCGGTAACAAATATTAAATTATGAATACATTCATTATAATAAAAAACCTTTAATCTATTTTATCTCATTTATCGATACTTTTATTATTCTCTAAAATTTTTATCAATGTTTTCTAAGATATGAATGAATGACTGCTTGCTTTTATGTTGATCTTTTGGCGTTCAGATCTACTTTTATGCAAAGAAGTAGTGGTTTGTTGTCTTTGGAATAACTCTCCTAGAATTCTGTGATTCTAATTTATTTTTTTGTGAAATTACTTTCTAATAACTTTCTACTACATATTTGCAAGCGATAAAATAATTTTGTCCCATCAGCATAAAAATCGTCTTTGTAATTTTTTCATTTACTCATTCAATAACTAACTTATAATTCTTAAAGATCACAAAAAATTTCGAACACAATAATACAACAAAATAATCAATTATGCATTATGCATTATAAATAATGTACAATGCAAATGCGTCCTATTTAAGGAGGTCCCGCGCCATATAAATCGGCAAATGCAGTATATGCATCATACATATGGCAAGTTCCAGGAAGAATTTCGATGATCTTGAACATTTTAACTTGAATTTAAATACAAATCAAGATCAAATTCGAAATCAATTAATTCAAAATCAAAAACCAAATACAATGCAGATTGTCATAAAAGAATTTTTTAAAAACTCACCATTCAATTAGTACTCATGCATTCTGTAGATCTTTCACCATTTGGAGATTTCATACATTTTATCAAGATTTTTTTATCAAATGAGGCTTCTACGTGAACTACTGTCAATATTAATTTGCATCATATTTTCCAGGAAATCTTCCTTTATTAAGGTGGCCCCATACAATTTTTAATGTCATTGAAACAGTCCAGATCAGTTGATCCATGTGCCTGCCAAGACTGCTTCCAGACCTTTTTCATAGAATTATTATTCTTTGTTATACCAAATAATAATAATAATAATAATAATCAATTTATTTCGATTTCGATTTTCGATTTTGAAGGCTAGTGTAATATTTTTTCGATGTGAAACTACATGTGACACTCATTTAATTTCATCCATTAAAAGTTTAGCGTTAAACCGGCTTTAAATTGGTTTTTGAAATCGCTTTAAAATCGTTTAAAGTCATTTTTAAGCATCAATATCTAAAAGAACTTGGATAAAATAATATTTTTATTAAAAAAAAGGGTTAAGGTGCTTTTTATGTAAACATTAGATTCAATTTTTTATATTGAAATAGTATTTATTAATTGTTTCAATATAAAATTGCAGTTCACACACTCTCTATAACGAGCATTTTGTCATATATGTCTTTTTGTGTTTTATAATAATATAGAAATAGAAATATAGAAACAAAAGAGAGGGATTTTACTTGGCAATAGAAAATGAACTGATTTCTGAACGTTACACTGATTTTTGATGAAAATGACTGGTATTTAATATCTAATATATTCATTCGCCTGGTAATAGATCTTTGAGTGTTTTTGTTTTTGTTTACCCGAAATTCTGCACCTCAGAATGTTGTGCAATTCTGTGGATATGTGTAGTCTTCTTCTCAGGATAATATATTTTTAGAGCTATTACATGATTGTAATAGTTCAAAATTCATTGTGTCATGTGTTTTTTACAATAATAAATTAGATTTCCTGAAGTCGTATGTGAGTCAATTCCGCAATAATAATGTAATAATTATGACAATAGAAGCTCTACTACAATCATATTTACCACAATCATTGCATATCAATTGTATTGATGTTTATCTAATGTGGGAAATATTACATGTCGTTGCCAGCTGTTTGCTTGTCAAGAGATTATTGTGATATTAAGTGTATTATATTATTTTATCAATATTTTTAACATTCTTAATAGTATTTCCCAATTTAAATTTTTTTTCAATATTTCAATAGTTGCATGATGATTCTTAGGATACCTCTGAGACATCACACTTCTTGAAATCCCTCCCACATTGTTATTTCATAAATATTCTATTAAACAAGTTTTTCAATTAAATTTTTTTTTGATTTTTTTGGGAAAATTTTTGGTGAAAGATTTGGAAACGCGAATATCTTATCTATAAAAGAAAAAAGATACCTTCATTCAAACTTTTTTTCAAAAATATTCCACGACTACAAAACTTCTAACTGAAATATATATTTTGCTTTATAGTAATTGCAGATTTTTTTAATGATAACATGGATATAGTCCACGTGGTCTAGAGAGAGACCTTTTAAATTTTGTAAAAACTACTTTATATATTAAAAAATTTAACTCTGTGATAGAATATGTCTCTAATGTATAATAAAGAAGATTCCCATACAGAGCCCCTCTAGTGCACATTCGCAGAAAACTCAGAATAGACACGGAAATCGTATCTAAATTTGGAAGCATATTGTTCTTTGAAATTTATTTTTAACAAGATAAATAGATAAATATTAATAATGAATAAATATTAAGACTTCTCTAATAATTCCGTTGCGCATCCTATGAAAAAATTGTTTCAATTGGATAATTATTACGTGAAATACCATTTTTTGAAAAAAATTCATATTGCGGATGGAGCGGGTTCTAACCAAAAATATGAAATTAGTTACTAGTACTAGTACTAGCATCTGTATATACCACCCACACTGATTGACCGTGTGGCACAGTAATAAATAACAAAATTCTGTTTTAAATTTACTAAATAATAGTAATGATTCTTGGTCGTTATTGATAAATATATTATGAATATTGCTATATGATTTCAGCTTGTTCAATCAATTCATTTAGTAAACAACTTGTACAGATTGATTCTGGATGGTTTATAATTCTTTGTGTCTGAAAAGTATTTTTTCTGCTAATTTAAGAACAATTATAAATTTATTATTTTATTAAAAAAAATTTATAGATTTAATAAAGTGAACCGATTTTATCATAAATCTCCATTTTTAAGATTAATGTTATTAATATTTAAAATGGATATTAATAATTTGCTTCTTTTAAAATATCTGAAACTTTATTACTCGTCATATCCATGTTATGTTGTTTTATGAACATCTCCAAAACCATCTTTAGCTAAGTATTTGATTTATTATATGGGTTCAATATATACTACCATAATTTACATTCATGAAAAAATCTGGCTATTTATTTTTTATTAATAATAAATTTATCACCTAATTCATAAATTATATTTTCCTATCAAATAATTCATTTAATGATTGTTTATATAATAATAATAATAATAATAAATCATCTTTCTATCACACCACTAACCACAATGATTCCGATGATGTTTATAATCCTTTTTGTGGCAAACATTTTTCTGAATTGATAATTTTAATTTATTGTTGTTTAACTTCTGATAATCTAATAGTCTTCATTTGATTTATAATAAATATTCCAAATTTCTTTAGTTGTTAGTCTATTTTCTGGACCATGATACCAACATCTTTTCATAATACCACTAGTTCGTGATCTCTTTTCTTTTAAAATATCCGATATAAGACAATGATTATGTGATCTATCATAGTTCCTATAGTATGCTCTCATTATCATACCAAAACTGTAAATGACAGACTTTTTTGTACATAGTTAATACTTCAAGTTCCAGATATGGATGTTTATCTTTTTCATTAAATATTTTTTGACTTCCCTCTTTGAAATAGAAATAATTGAACTAATTTTATCACTCCAAGTAAATTCTTTAAAATTCCTTGATAAAAATTATATAATCGCATGATTAAATATCATTCTATTTTGGATTTTTAGTGATGCAACGTTACTTTTAACTAGAAGAAAATATTTATAAATAATATTGTTATTTAATAATAGATATTTATTAAAACTTTATAAATTTTGCCTTTTTGGAATTCAATAAATTACATAAGATTTAACAAAGAATTTCACAGTGTAGATTATCTATAAATATCATATAAAAACACGATCTTTATGAAATTGACCCTTTTTTTTTTAAGCTGATATAAATTTTTTTCTTTTAATGTGATATGTTCAATATGTTCATTAACTTTTAGCTTTATAGTCACGAAAAATAAAACTAATCAATGATCTGCACCGTAATAGTTTTTTTATATATAGTAACATTCGGTTTTAATGCAAAATCTATTTTTAATTTATCAGTTAAATCATTAAATAAAAACAATGTTGTTTTTTCAAACCCTTGTATCAAATAATTAATTCTAGGTTTTGGATCACTTTATTGATTATTTCTTTTAATGTGTATTTTCTGCATCTATTTTTTTAGGTGCAACGCATAAAATGAATGGTTGTTCGTATTTACAACTGGCATTAGTACTAGTTCAACAACAGGAATTACCTTACTGGCTTTCATTATAATTAAAACCGGCGTAACAATTATTTATTATTTATTATTATTATTATTATTATTATTGTTATTATTATTATTATTATTATTATTATTATTATTATTTATTTGATAGCATTGATATTATTAATATACAGTCAATACTATAAAAGAGGATAAAAATAAAGTTTTTCATCTTTTACTTGCAAAAGTAAACTCGAACTTTTAATTTTTTTATTACAATGTCACTCATTTTCGTTTTTCAATTAATTAATTTCTTTAATCTTTTGGTTTGAATTTAAAAAGTCAAATCGTTACATTTTTTATTCATGTGACACGAAGCTGCCGATCTCGTAAAAATTTTTTGGACAATATCAATAATATTAAATAAACCAATGCTCGTTTTCACATATCCGATACCTGCCATTATTAATTTGCATTTTTTTATAATTTTAACTAATTTTATAAATAAACAAAACTCAAAAATTCAAAATAACATTACAAAAAAATTTTTTTTTTATGTTTATTAATTATATTATTTAATAATAAATTTTAATGATTGTTTGGTTTCATCGTGATTCTAATTAAACAATTTAAAAACAAAATATATTTTAGCAATTGCGATATTAAAATAAAATATAATAAAACAAAACAAGATCAAAACAAAAAAATCAAAAAAACAAATAAATCGATATCAGATGACTGAATCTTGTTAGCGCCAATTGAATAATATAACTGTAAAGCAGATGACGGGCTTTAATATATACAAATACGCATGCGCCTGCATATGTGTACAATGTAACAGATTCTAGATTGACGTTAAAAAAAAACCAACCTATTTCTTATTTAATAAATATTATAAAAAAAATAATAAGAATTCAAAACATTGGATTTTCTTATTATTTCTCTTTTGAGTCAACCAATGAGAAACTACATAATAAATAAAGGATGAATGTGAATAAATTTAAAGCATTCGTTATCTAATGCAACAATAACAATGTAATAATAACGGCTAATAAAAAACCTTCGACACTTACATAATGGTTTGTGGCTTTTTACATCTATTTTTGTTGAATTTTGAACTTTTGAATATCTTTTGAAAATCAATCAACAACTCATTTCCCGCTTTTTTTTCTTAATATTGTTATCAGTGGGTGATTTATAAACAATATATTATTGGTACAAAAAAAAAAAGAGAGATCTTTCATTATACACGATAGTACAAATTAAAACAATTGTTCACAAAATTATTAATGTTAATATCAATACGTATTCCAACAAATATGTCTCCTATCTCCACCCACATTTGCTATTACCGTTTCTGTTATCTATTATCTGTTGCTATCCTTCTTTGTCTTTCCTTGTTTTGCTCTTTTACTTTTCTTTATGCTTTTAGCGCTCTTCTATACTTACTTTTGTTTTTCTTTTTAGTTGTATACAGTTTCCAATAAAATAAATGAAATAAAATCCTTACATTTATCCAATATTGCTTTTGAACAGATAGATATATATATATATATTAGAAAAAAACAAGTGTGTGCACACTCTTCTAGGTCTTATAGTGAAGGAAAAGTACCCCGTACTCAATAAAATTTTTTAAACTTTAAAAAAAAACATGTATAAATACCAGATATGTATAATTGGCTATACTGTACGTACAAACGGGTAAATGTTTATTATTTAGAGAATTAGAGAAACCAATTTTTATAGTAATCTTACTAAAGCTAGTAAGTAGTATGATAATAATAATTATAATAATATTATTTTTGGTTACCCTTGTATTTTTTTTTAGATCAACAATTGTTAATAGTCTACGATCTCCATTTCTATTTGGTGATGATGGTGGTTTCTTTGTTTAATAATGTAAATAAATAAATAAATCTTACTATTGTTAAATCCTGTTATGAATAAATAAACGTATCGCTAATAAATAATATGCTGATTAATGTAATCGTGATCTTTACCAAATTAAAGATTTGAAATGAATATTGTCACTTGATGTATGTATAATGTATCACTACAATACGTCAATTATAAGTGATGAAGAAAATATTATATTATAAAAAAAAACCGATTATAGTAATAACATTAGCAATTATAGAATAATTAGTAGCAACAATATAAAGAAACATAATAATATAAACTTAACAATAATATGCTAGTTTTATGCAGGGCTGCAGATACTTGCTTTTACAAAACAGAAACTTGATTTATAATTTTAAGAAACTTAAAAAAAAAAAACTTTGTATTAAAAACGTTAATTTATGTTTTTGAGGACCAAAACAACTTTTGATTAATATCCAGCCACAAAATCGTTGTTGATGATAATAACGAGGGGAAAAATTTGTGTACTTCATCTTTACCAACGTAAGCCTTAAGCTGTCCAACAGCTATTAATCGTTGTAATCGTTGGTTTCCGTTAAGTCCTTAGTTTGAACATAATTATTTTTAAATTTAATTCCTATTATATAGATAAAGATCGTGAGATTATTATTAATAGATTATATTGATTATATTAATTGTACGACGTTTTCCAATAAAACCGAAACAGATCTTTTTTTGTGTTACATTTCAGATTAGACATGTAATGTTAATAATGTTATTAAATATTTTATTTATATATACCAAAATTATTTTTTGGCTAGATCGTTTCTCAATAACTATCTTTTTTTTTAGAAAATGAGCCAAGGCATCTCGATTTTCCTGCTTTTTCTTGACATCCTTTTCTTTAAATAATAGTCATTAAATTCATAACAAATCATCCTTGAACATAAGGTTAAAAATGATTCCTCTCCATTTCCATAGAATGTGATCATATTATCATGGAAATGAAAACCCATTTGATTGGACAAAATATCATCACATAGGAAACCTGTATGTAATAAAGTATACTTAAACCAATTATGTTTATTATTGAAACGCTCTTGGCACAATTTAGTTATATTACGGTTTTCATCACTAAATATGGATGTATTTTAAAAGATATCATTCGTTATGAGTCATAATTATTTTTGAGCCATTTTTATCTTTTTACACATATACATTAATTAAAATCGACACCAATTTTCCCACGTAATGGATCTTCTGATTTTTAGGTTAATGCATGGATTGATTACGAATCGTTGCCTTTCAAACATCGTTACTCAGTCCACTAACTACTACATCGACGTCTGTATACAAAAGATGTGATAGCGATGTAATCATTAATTACAAATCGATACTCGGGTAAATATGTCTGTCATTTAATAGATATGTTAGTACATTTTATGAGGTTTTTGTTGTTGCAATATTGCTTATAATTTCAAAGCTCTAAATATTTTACAATAAAGTTCAATACATTTAAAAAAAATTTGATTATTATAAAAAAAAAAATCCCTCAACATACGATTTCTTCAACAATAAAATTAATTTGATTTCCATAATAATAATCCAATAATTTACAAATAGTTTTTATATCGTTTTCGTTTGGATTTGTTGATATAGTAGTCGTAGCTGTTGGTTTTACTGAATTAGTGGCAGCAGCAGTCGTAACAATAATGATTTTTAATGGCTATTTATATTTTAATTCCATGTTTTTTTTTAGATTTTTAAATTTATTTATTATTATATATTTTTTTTTTTTTGGTTCTTATTTTTTCTTTATTTTTATAAATATTTCCTCCAATTATTCATTCATAAATTCGTAACTATCGTAATCATCGTTGTAATTGTTTAAATGGCAATTAATTCCTTTTCCATTGTTAGGATTTTATGATTTTCTTGATTGTGATAATCTTTCTCGCATGACCATATTTATATTTATAAAAATGTAACAATTAAACTAAAAGAACAATTGAAAAATCATTCTTATTACTTTTGATTTTGTGAATCTTTTCTGTAAAATGTCAAGAAATAACACCCCACCTCACCAACTGATGAAATGCCAAACCAACCAATTTACTATCCAAACGAACCCTATCAAGCACCTATATCGCCTATTAACTGTACTGCTATTTAATCAAAAAAAAAAAAATTTTTCATTTCATGGGTCATATAACTCGTATAAATCATAGTCATATAACTCTTCTATTTATGCTATGCTTATAAACTCTCATTCATCCAAACCCCCGATCATGATTCTCTGTAATTTATCCGTTAAGTGCCGATTTAGAGCAGCCATACATCAACGTACGATCGAATATTGTAAATACAGAAATCTTTCATATTGACACGATAGAATTCTACTCCGTGTCACAAAACCAATCGTTACTATCCCAATTAGATTGAATATGGCGTTATTTGGTGTCCGGGCGCTTTCTTTCTTATGGCCGAACTGGATTGATTAGACCTCCGAGTAGGAAGGTTTATCGTTGACAAATTTAATTGTGTTTACATGATTTTGTTTGCTCTTACACAAAATATTTATTTATTGATTGATGTAGCTTCATGTGTTTAAATGATAATGATAGACAAATACATATTGTTGATAACTGGTTTACTACTTTTATGCGCACTTAATTATCTTTAAATTCAAGTCGCATATTATTGTAACAAATACCAATATCCAGATATACTCAACATCACTACCATTCATATTATTGTTTTTATAATAAATACTCGCATATTTAATATCTATTTCGCTATCATCCTTTACTCAAATCTTTCATATATATACATTAATTATATATCCATACACACATGTATTTATTCTCGTTTAGTTTTATTTATTTATTCCACTATTTATAATTTGTTCATATGATCAAAATAAATAAAGTTTTTTAACATTTCAGTTATTAATACAAGTTACAAATAGCATATATCATTGATATTTATAATTAACAAAGGAACAAACAAATAAAAGTTTATTGGAGAAAAAAAATTCAATTTATTTAATTCCTTTGGTCTCTGAGGCAATTGTTGATATGCATTATGGTGCATAATATATATCAAATATTTAGTTTCGTAGAAAAGATTATCGCATTCATTCATTTTATTTACTTAGAAAACACATGCCTTCTGATTTTAGTTAGCTTTTTTTAATTTTAAAGTCATTAACATATATTTATGATTTAATGATTAAACAAATAAAAATAATTGTTGATTATGTCAGTTCGTGCGTTTGTAAAAAATTTTTTTTTATTAGTACCGAGTATGTCGAATTAATCAAATTGTAACTTAATAAATATCATGTGTGGATGAAAAACCTTATTTGGATCTCTTTATTATACTCCCATATTTTTACAGAAAATATAAAAGAGGATTTTTCTAACCAAAAATAATTAAATTTGAATAAAAAAAAATTTTTTTTTAAAAAAAAAACCATTTTTTTTTTAAAAAACAAAAATCAATAAATTAAATAAAAATGGAAATTACGCGTATCATTTGGTAAAGTTTTCAATAAATATTTGAAGAATCGTTTTTTTAATCATTTCCTAATTAATATAATTAATAATAGCAATCAACAGCAACAAGTACCTTCACCACAAAATCAACAACAACAAATAAATTCAAATACAATAAAACCATCACCCAATCATAATATCAACAATAATGATGATAATAAGTGTAATATTTTCAACAACAATAATGATGATAATAAGTGTAATATTTTCAACAACAACAATAATGATGATGATAAGTGTAATATTTTCAACAACAACAATAGTATCAATAATACCGATAACTCCAATTCCAACATTGCTGTCACTGCCATCAGTAGAAATAGCGGTATGTCTCCAAATCGTAGAATGGCACATATTCTATCAGAAAAAAAAAGAAGAAATAATATTAATTCGGGATTTTTGGAATTGAAGGGTATTGTTCCCAACTGTAGAGACAGTAGCGATTCAAAAGCTTCCATATTGAAGAAAGGTAACTGTTTGTTGATTGATATATTGATTGCCCAAGTGAATAATTAATCGCTACCATGATTGATTCTTTTTTCTTTTTAAAAATTTTTTTTAGCTGTTCAATACATCCAGTCTCTTGAAAAAGAAGTTAAAAAACTAAAAAGATCATCAATTTCATCATCGTCATCATCAAAAACAACATCGTCGTCACCATCATCATCATCATCATCAACAACAAATTCAACAACTCCGCCACCACCCCATTCACCAACACCACCAATGTTGTTAAAAATCCATATAGAAACACCATCATCATCTCAACAATCACAATCCACTACTCTTCATCCTTCTTCTTCTTCATCCTCTTCGCCACAACTACCGCCGCAAATTCAGCAAACACAATTTAAGCATATTCAGCCTACAAATTTATCATCACCATCGCCATCGCCATCACCACCACTAACAATAGCATTCAAACCTACTATAGTAAACAATAATAGTAATAATAATAATAGTAATAATAATAATAATAGCAGTAATAATAATGATAATGATAATAATGATAATAATAATGATGATGATGATAACAATAATGTAGTATTACCTTCAATATTGACAACAACAAATTTCCCAAGTCTTCAATCGCATTTTTCATCTTCTACTTCAATATCTCCATTAATTAATCAAGATAAAAAAGATCATCGTCGTTATCACTGGGGAGAAAGTTTAAACCAACATCAACAGCATTTAATTCACTATCATCATAACAACATTTGTCATAATAATTGTAGAAATAATGATAATTATTATTATCACCAGAAAAATAATCTAAATTATCCGAATCATCAATACCAAAATCACCATCATAATAGAAATCATCATTATTTTAAGCAAGATGAAGAGCATTCACAAAATATGAATTGGTTAAGTAACGGTTATGGCACTATTAACAATTCCAATTTCAATATTAGTACAAACATTAGTCATCATCATCATTTCCGCTCACAATCACAAGATGTTTCATTGCTTAATAATAATAACAATAATAAAATTATGATAAAACAAGAATCAAATCAATTCAGGAATCAAATCCAGTATCGCCAAAATCATTATTATAGATGAAAAAATAAATAAATAAGTGATTTTTCTTTAGATATAATTAAACAGTAATAATAATAACATTAAATTATTATTTTTATTATTTTACGACAATTATTAAACAATATGGATGACGGTCAAGAGCAGATCAACAGCAGAACGAGTATCATTCCGCTCATAATCTCATTGTTTAATAATAGTTAATTATGATAAAATAAGAATCAAATCAATACAGGAGTCAAGCCAGCACTAAGAACAACACCATTGCCAAAATAATTATAAATCCAAAAATAAATAAATGATAAAATAAAGTATTTCTTTTAAGATATAATTAATTATAATAAAAAACAATATATCACGGGCATAGCATTGATTATTAATCAATTGTCTATATAAAAAAAAATTTTTTTTGTTATTTTTATTATCTGTAGCAATCATATGACGCTCGCATTGCATGTTAAGATACTTGAATGTAATTAGTAAGGACTCGTGAACGAATTAGTTTTTCGTAGTGTGTGTGCCTCTATTATGTAAACATCCATATTCTTTGTAATCGTTAATTAAGTGATGGATGCTTTTTACACAGAATAATTAATTGATTACTTAATAATATTCTAGATCTTATCAACGTAATACAGTCATAATAACATCTAATTTGTTTCTTTTGCTTTTCTTTTTTTGTTTAATGTAATCATACATCTTCGGGAAAAATATTAATACACTATCATATCATATATATGGTTTTTTGTTTATCAATTTGTGTAATTAAATACAGATCAAGTCAAAACGCATAAATTATGTATTTATTTGCCAATAATGGGCTATACAATAATTTTTGTATGTGCAAAATACATATTATGAAAACAATCCGGTTTTTACCATTTGTAATATTTTGTGAAAAACAAATATATATCAATTATATTATGAGGCGTGTTGTACAAAACTAGACAAAGTAAGCATTGTGCCTTTCTAGGAAAATCAACAACTGAGGTCCCAAAACCAAAATAATCGTTTGAATTTAAACCGAATAAAGAAAAAACCCCATTTTTTAAAATGCCATTAAGAAGCCAAAGAGAAAAGATGTTCTATTAGCAGGAGTTGACGGTTGAGGATATTCTTGATTATTTTAGAGTTGATATATATTGAACTGGAACAAATTTTATATTTATTACTATCATTTAAATATTTGTCTGTGGTAGAAAGCCAACCTCGCTTGTCTGGAAATACATTAATTCAACTGTATTTTTCCAAATCATCAAAAGAAACTGGTATTTTTATAGATGGAAGTTTATTAAGAAGATACATCGAAGGAACCAGCTGAATCAATTTTTTATTTAATATCAATCTATTCATCTATGGAGAAATATTTTTTTACTGCTGATTTTCATAGTACCTTTTTTTAACAACTCATTTAAGATCCTCGTTGTATTTTTGCATAACTTCATATGATCATCGCTGTTACTCTAGAGAATTCAACAATGCCGTGACCTGAAACTAGAAAATGTGAGACCGAAACTACCGAAACTAGTTGGGCGGGATTAGGTCTAGGTTCATGTTCAGGTTTAGGGCAGGTTCTCTCTCGAAATTAATTAAGTCATGCGCTTTATTATTTGATGTAGAACTAGCCACAAGTAACTATTTTTGAATCTTTTCTATGGCATAAAGTTTCAATAAAAGATGACTAAAGATAACAACAGTAAACAAAACTTTTGAGCTTGGTCAAAAGACACAATATATGTTACACGTCGGTATAAACACCAACATAGATTGGGGTGTAAACGTTTCACGATTTTTTCATCAGTGATATTTCTTACCCTCAAAAATCACTCTGCGCCGATAAATTAAAGAGAGATATTATATTACACTATATTCAAAAATGGAAATAATAACTCTCTTTTTCATGGACCAGTTGCATTTCGAAAAATGATTTTTATTATTATTATAACTCATTGATCGATATTATGTGAGTTTGGTTTGGTTTGGTGGAACTGGTTTGAACAGTTTTTTGAACAACATTACACGAACCCTTATTAAAAAATACCAAGAAAGGCAATGAATTTCAAACGATAGAATTACTTTTGGAAATACGCCCATACCAAAAACCGGTTTTCATTAGCACAAAATCCATTTTCAGCATGTGTATATCCAAATCATTTATTAAGAATTATTTGTGTCACATTTTGAACATGTGTAATCGGTTCAAACGGTTCCAAAAAAACCAGAAACCGTTTTTTAGTGAAACCGCCACATCCCTAATTATGTCAGTATTTTACCCAAATTTGGAATTTCTAAATATTGTAATGATTGGCGTTCTAGTTGCCATATCTCTTAAATTCTTTAATGGTAACACAAATTAAAGTTTTTGATCATTGGTCAATTTAACTATCAGCAAAAACAGTCAATCGACCAACTTTTAAAGAAGATTTTACAAAAACCACAAGGACAACAACTGGATTTTTATTTATAGATTAA